CACTCATTGGCTGTACCTCATCGCCGCACTCATTGCCAGTCGCAACACTTTTCACACTACAGAATATGGAGTCGCCGACAGGTCCAGACGGCGACTCGGTTTGCGGAGAGAATGTTGACCTCGTTGAGAGGTTCACTTACCTCGGCAGTGACATTCACGTCTCTGGTGACTCTTCCTATGAAGTCAGACGGACTGGGAGAGCACGGGGGGTCATGAGGTCGCTGGAAAGGGGTGTGTGGCGCTCCTGATATCTTTGCAAGAGGACGAAGGTTCAAATATTTACAGTCTTGGTACTTCCTGTTTTGCTCTATGGTTGTGAGGCACGGACACTATTCAGTGACCTGAGACGAAGACTGGACTCCTTCTGTACTGTATCTCTTCGGAGAATCCTTGGGTATCACTAGTTTGACTTTGTGTCAAACAAGCAGTTGCTCAGGGGATCCTGAATGAGGCACAATACCTGCATTGCGAAGGAGCATCAGTTACGGCACTACGACTATGTGGGAGTTTCCCTAAAGGTGATCCGGCTCGCAGGATCCTCGATGCTGAGGACCAGGCCCAGGGGACGCCCACGTAACACCTGGCTGCGGCAGATGAATGGCCATTTCCAGAGGGTGGGGCTAGACCACGTGTCCCCTTGTGGGGTTGCCAACCAGGATCCCGAGGTGTTTAGTCGCGTGCTGGATGTTCATGCTCCCCAACTTGACCTGACCAGGCCTGATCGGTGACTCCATTGAAACGCATCTTTTATACTAACAGCAATCAAACTCCTATTTGCCACAGAACCCTAACCTTAGTACATAACCTGTAATGAGAATTTATTTGTTAAAAAAGATCTTAGCAGCCTGTACTTACTTGGTGGTTTGAAACGTATAAGCTGTTTGTGGAGTTTTTAAGCTTTTTTTTGGGACTGCAGATATGGGGGTGCCATTGTAGAGACATAGGGCTTGTAGCCAAATGTCTCCAGTGAAACCAGTCTAAAAACCCCTATTACCCCAAAATACCGAAATGCATTTAGCATCTTTCACCACCTGAGAATATTGCATTAGACATCAGCAACTGCTGTGCTTAATCACCTTCTAATTGCATATGTGGAGGGAGAGCTGTCCATGATGGGTGCCCTCTGGTTTTGACACATGGATAATGAGATGTGTGACATCTGCGAACGATTCATTCACGGGGAAGGACTCCCTTGCAGGAACTATACACTCATGGTCACTTCCATGCACAGATTTGTTCTTTTCGTTCTTTTGCTTGGCCTTGGAAATGTAACTCGAAAGCTCCTATCGTCCTTGACTATCGCTGCATTCCACTTGTAACAGAGAAATGTAACAGAGTTCCTAGTTTGAAATTTTAACTGGAACGCCCCCGGAAGTTGGAATTCCTACTCAGAAAGCCGGAGGAATCTACACAGCTCTGACCTCAGAATTCAAGATGGCTGTGCCCTATATCAACAGAAGTTAAAGCTGTAGTTTAATATTGTTTATTAGCACTTACATCTTATTCATGGCTCATTAAATCGGTCATACACACAGTACTATCTGTGGACATGTTGCTACGGTCTTTTTATGCGCAAAAAACCACGTAATGTGTTGTCATCAACTGATATTGCTGACAATGACTAACAATTAACCAGGCTAGAACTGGGGCCTGTTTCAAAAAGCAGGATTGTTTGCTTAGCCGGATGATTTATTGGATTTAAGGTAGTCTGGCCTAAATGTAAGTGAAAGAAAATAAAGGGCTTTTAAATTGGCGTAAAATAAATATGACAAGTTATCCAGCTAAGCAAAAAATCCTGCTGTTTGAAACAGGTCCCTGGTAATGCTAAATGGCTTTCTTACTTGCTATACTGGAACACGGTTAGCTTGGGGTGACGTCATTCCCAGCTCCAACTTACAGTGGAACGCAGCTTATGGCCAATGAGAGCCAGTGAAGCATATAAGGGTGTGCTGTAAGTAAGCATATGATTGGCTGGAAACTAGACCTGGGTCACAATAAACATAACAAAAAAATAAGCGATCCATATGATAAAATGATTTTGTCTGTTACAGGACTTCAGTCTTCATTTGGTAGGCCTATATATATGCTATGTGTGCACAGCGAATTGACCTCAGTAACGCATTAATTCATAATAAAAGATAAGGAACATTCTATTATTTATTTATTTATTGAGAAGGGAGGGTCTGCCAATCTTGGGGTCGGTGGGGACGCGTCCCCCCAGTTCCAGTGCCCCTGTACACGCCTACAGTGAACAAACGACCAAGAGTCTCAAGTTCACCCACTCACTCACCAACCTAGTTGCACCTTCAGGTCTCTCGTTCTTGTTCTAAACGAGTTAGTGAGTGAGTGGACTCAGATAGGCCACCTCTGGATCATGACTCAATGAGAGACTCAAACCTCGGTCATAACGTTGATGCTGTGTCGGGTTGAGTACCGGATGCTGTGCCGGCCGCCACAGTTTTGG